AGAGAACACACACAAACCACACAAAGGACACTCCTAGAACACCCAGTGCAGGTGACTAGGGAGATTGTGCCACTGGGCCCCACCGGGAACCTACTACATAAGACCACCTGGCCAAGACTGGGGGACATAGCAGATATACCTAATACATAGAAACAAACAGAGACACAGCCAAAATGAGGAAACAAAGAAATACATCCCAAATGAAAGAATAGGAGAAACCCCCCCCCGCAAAAAAAAGAACTAAATGTAATAGAGGCAAGCAACCTACCAGAGACAGAGTTCAAAACAAAGGTTATAAGGATGTTCAAGGAGCTTAGTGAGAACTTCAACAAAGAGATAGCAATCACTGAAAAAGGACATAGAAACCATAAAAAAAGAACTAGTCAGAAGTGAAATGAAGAATGCACTAGAAGGAATCACCAGCAGACTAGATGAAGCAGAGAAGTGAATTACTGATTTAGAAGACAAGGTAGCATAAAACACCCAATCAGAACAACAAAAAGAAAAAAAAATCCAAAAATAAAAATGAGGGTAGTTTAAGAGACCTCTGAGACAACATGAAGCATAACAACATTTGCATCATAGGGGAACCAGAAGAAGAAAAAAGAAAGCATGGGATTGAAAACCTATTTGAAGAAATAATGACTGAAAACTTTCCTAACCTGGCAAAAGAAATAGACATACAAGTCGAGGAAGCACAGAGAATCCCAAACAAGATGAACCCAAACAGGCTAACATCAAGAGACATTAAATTAGAATGGCAAAGGTTAAAGACAAAGAGAGAATCCTAAAAGCAGCAAAAGAAAGGCAACTAGTAACTTATAAGGACGCTCCCATAAGATTGTCAGCTGATTTCTCAACAGAAACTTTGTAGGCCAGAAGGGATTGGCACAAAATATTCAACATGATGAAAAGTAAGGACCTACTGCAAAGATTACTCTATCCAGCAAAGATATCATTTAGAATCAAAGGACAGGCAAAGAGCTTCCCAGACAAGAAAAAGCTAAAGGCGTTCATTACCACCAAACCAGTATTACAAGGAATATTAGAGAGACTTCTTTAAGATGGAAAAAGAAAAAAAAAGGATCAAAACTATGAATAATAAAATGGCAAAAGCTACATATCTATCAACAATTACTTTCACTGCAAATCAATTAAACACTCCACTCAAAAGACATAGGGGGGCTGAATGGATAAGAAAACAAGACATAAACTGGCTACAAGAGACTCACTTCAGATGGAAAGACACACACAGAGTGTAAAGGGATGAAAAAGATATTTCATGAAAATGGAAGTGAGAAAAAAACACCAAAAAAAAAAGCTGGGTAGCAACACTCATACTAGAAAAAACAAACTTTAAAACAAAGGCTATAACAAGAGACAAAGAAGGACCCAGTAATCCTACTTTAGGACACTTATCTGAAGAAACCCAAACGCTACTTCAAGGGGATGTGTGCATCCATATGTTCATTGCAGCAATGTTTACAACGGTCAAGATGTGGAGGCAGCCTGGGTGTCTGTCAATGGAAGAATGGAAAGAAGAGGTGATACATATATACAATGGAATATTGCTTGCACGTGGAAGAGAATGAGTTCTTGCCATCAGCAGAGGCATGGATGGACCTGGAGAGCACTGTGCAGAGTGGAGTGCAAGACAGAGAAAGACAGATGTAATGTGATTTTGCTTATATTTAGAATCTAAAGAACAAATTAAACAAACAAAACAGAAACAAACTCATAGATACAGAGAACATATTAATGGCTGCCAGATGGGAGGGAGGTTGGGATTGGATGAGAAAGGGGAAGGGATTGAAAAGTACAGATTAGTTCTTATACAGTAATCATGGGAATGTATAGTACATCATGAGGGATATAGTCAATAATATTGTAATAACTATGTACAAGTATGGTGGCATATTGGCACTAGATTTGTTGGGGTGATAGATGGGAGGGAGTTGGGGGACAGGGTGTAAAAGATGAAAGGAGTAAGGAGTACAAACTGATAGTTAGAAAATAGTCATGGGGATGTAAAGTAAAACATAGGGAATATAGTAAATAATATGGTAATAACCATGTATAGTGCCAAGTGGGTACTAGATTAGTCAGGGGATCATTTTTTAAATTACACAAATGTCTAACTACTATGCTGTACACATGAAATTAATATAAAATAATATTGAATGTCAACTGTAACTGAAAAATTAAAAAGGGGAAGGAAATGTGAAGTGGAATAAGAGGTTCAAATGTCCAGGTATAAAATAAATAAGTCATGGAGTTGTAATGGGGAATATATTCTATAATATTGTGATAGCATGGTACAGTGTCAGATGGTTGCTGGACTTATCATGGTGATCACTTCTTTAGGTATTTAAACGTTGAATAACTATGGTGTACACCTGAAACTAATATAATGTTTCCTGTTAGCTATATTTTAATTAAAGTCTTAAGAAAACAAAATAGAGGAAAAAAACAAGAACAAAATAAACAAACAAAACAGAAAAAACCTCATAGATATAGAGAACAAACAGGTGATTGGCAGATGGGAGGAGGGCTGGGGGACTGGGTAGAAATGGTAAAGGTATTAAATAGTATAAATTGGTAGTTACAAAGAAGTCATGGAGATGTAAAGTACAGCATAGGGAATATAGTCAATTATATTACAATAACTCTGTATGATGTCAGATGGGTATTAGGCTTATTGGGGGGGTTCACTTTGTGACTTATTTAAATGTCTAGTCTATGCTGCACTCCTAAAACTAATATAAAATTGAATGTCAACTGTAACTGAAAAATTAAAAATGTAAGTCCCACATAAATCAGTGAGAAATGATAAAAAAAATATGTTGAGCAGAGACTCCTGACACAAAAAAATGCCTACATGTGATTCCATTTACATAAACCCAAAAACAAGCAATAAAATGGTTGATTCTCATAAAGATGATGTAGAGCAAAAGGAGCCCAACACAAGAGTATATGCATATGATTCCATTTCTGTAAAGTGTAATGAGGAAAAACTAATCTATGCTATTCAAAGTTAGGAATATGATTACCCTTTGGGAAATGATAGTTATTACAAAGGAGCACAAAGGTGGCTTCTGGGCATTAGTCAAGTTCTATGTCCTGATCAGATGCAAGTTGATTGAACTGTACACTTATGATATGTGTGTATGAACAGATGTGTCTTATACTTCAATAAAAACATAAACTATCTTTAAAAAGCAAAAGAAAATACATGCATGCAAACCAATAATAAGCATTTAGCAAAAACACACATAATGAAAAGATACAGAAATGGGAGTGTGGCAGGGCTAAAGAAAAATGAAATAAAGAATCCCTTCTCCTGCTCCCAGGCCTGGGTCACTCCAGTTAGCACACACAGGGCACCTCTGAATCAGAGTTGGCCTCTAGCCTGGGGATGGGGAGGATGGGGAGAGAGGCATGCCCAGCCCAAACATTTGGGGGCCCAGGAAAAACAGTTCAAATAAAGGCCCACATACCATATATCAAAAAAATTAAACATTATAAATAAAATACGTTCTATCTGCCTACCTTGACATATTTAGACACACACACACACACACACACACCCCTTTATAATGATCAGGAATGCCAGGTTTGAATTTAGAATCCTCAGACTCCCCAGGGCCCTTTTTCCCAACCCAGCTAAGTCTCACATTGCAAGAAGCTTCACAGTCGCATGTGTGGGCATCCCAGGGCTTCTAAATTCCATCCAAACCCCCACAACGAGCATTCCTTAGTCCCACGGGTGTGCACACCAGCAGTCAGATCTGCCCATGGGAGGGTGTACCAGAGAAACAGGCCTGCACAAGCCTTGGAAGCAGGCTGTGGCCATCTTGGCAGGGAATTACAGTGTCCCGGGCCCCAGAAGAGTGGTCTAGAGCAGGCACATAGGCTCTGAATGGGCACATCCCCTGGACCCCATAGACTCCTTGCCTGTAGGAAGGCCAAAGCCAAAGGGGACGAGTGTGAAGGCCAAGGTCAGGGCCTCTCTTGCCAAGTCTCAGGGCAGATGCCCTATGCCCCAGTATTTACTTTCCCACTGACCCAACCCCACCAAATGGGAATACGAGTTGTAATTTGCCCTACACTTTAGCTTACAGAATACCTTCACATATAATACTCTTAATTCTCACCGTCTTGTAAGATTAATACCATTTGATAGATGAGAATACTGAGCCCAAAGTGACTTCTTGAAGTCACACAATAAAGAAAAAAAAATGACCACTGCTAGGCCTCCAGTGGAAGATTTTTCCCTCCAAATTGCAAAGGTCATGTTCTTTCCACTACTCAACACTGCCATCTGTCCCTCAGCTTTCTAAAGAACTGATGGGGCTAAAAAAAAAAGTCGTAAATATATGAAAATTGTAAATATGGTTGAAGCATTTTAGAAAAATACCAGAGGCAGGGAAGAAATTTAACACCAAATACAGAGTCCTTTCTGGGAAAGAGACTGGGCCAAATTCATCACTGGAACAAAGAATAGTTTGTAGGAGTAGAAATCCTAGCTGAGTTTTGGGGGCCTCATCCCCACCCCAAACCACAAAATGAGAGCCTTCAATGCAATTAAGCAATCTCCACCCAAATTCCACACCAATTACATGAGGGGCCTGGCTTCACAGCACGCCTTCTCTCCACCGCCCCACCAAAAATACTTTATTAATGAGAGAGCAGCATAAAGCCACAGGCCTCCATCTGCTCAGGGGCAATCCGGAGAGAGAAGGCTGGCACCAGCTCCAAGTTAATGCCCGACCCTCCTCCAGCAAGGACCCATTAAGCTATGCCTCCCTCTAATTACCAGGTGTCTGGCTCAGGGCCTGGCCAGTTATTTAGAGAACCAGCGCCTGCTCTTAGCACAGATCTCTATGAGCCTGGGGCTTCAGGCACTCTGCTCAAAGCCAGCTGCCTGAAGTTGCCATCTCCTCACTCTGCTATTCCAGGACCCCTCCTGCTGCCTCTGCACCACAAAGCACGGCAGCATCATGTCGCTGGCACACACAGCTGCAGAGTACATGCTGTCAGATGCCCTGCTGCCTGATCGCAGGGGCCCCCGCCTCAAAGGACTGCAGCTGGAACTTCCCCTGGACCGCATGATCAAGTTCGTAGCTGTGGGCTCCCCCTTGCTGCTGATGTCCCTGGCATTTGCCCAAGAGTTCTCCTCCGGTAAGTGGCTCCCAAGACTCAGTGTATAGGGGAGACTCCACTTTGTTTCACTCTTTATATGGGCTCCAAAGCGAGGCAGCTCCCACATTATCCAGGTATCATGACTGGCCTGGGTATTACCCAAAGGCAGACTGTGCATGAGTTTTGGACACCAGCAAAGCAGAGGCACCAAGAAATTTGAAAGTTATTTCCAAAATGTTGCATTAAAACTTTAGTTTAAATTTCAGTATTCATGTATTTTATGCCGTTGCAATAATTAAACTTTTATTTTGATTTTATGTGGATGAGAGATTGGAGCCCCGTAATATTTTTGGATCTAGGATCTCTAAAGGTCTTGGTCATCCATGGTTTAGATAAGTCTCTTATCTTTTTGGAGCTTTCTTCCTACTCTCTACGTCCAGGGTTACTGACTTAAGAACATAGGTTAAGTGGCTGACAGAGCCTGGCACATCATAGGTGCTGAATAAACCCATTCCTTCCTCTCAAAACACAAACATTAACAAACACATGTATGTTGTGTTCTCGGTGCTGGGTTAACTCCGCAAACCTGTCACCTCTATTAAAGAGAAGGTGGATTTCTCAAGAATTGAGATTTCTGGCTTTCTTTTCTGGCTGTGTGATTAGCTTACCACATTTCCCAAGGAAGTATGTCAACCTCTCACTGCCTCTCCATTTACCCACAAGATGGGGAGCACTAGTTCCCCATCTTTCTAGAGAATGATGGGAAAACCCAAAACCAGGGACTCTCCTTCCAAGCCTACTTTCCTTCTAGCACCACTCACCCACCTTTTCTCTTGATTTGGACTCAGAAGTCCAGTAAAACAATCCTCTAAATTTTAGAACCTAGAAGATATCAGCTCTCTCAGAAAGGTGATGTCACCACCAAACTGCACGCTTCCTGGTGCAAAACTGCAAGAGTGCAGGGACCCTCCTCACCACCCACACACACTCCCACCCCCCCATCCATTGCTGCCTGCCTGTCTAGGGGCCTAGGGGGAGCTCAGAGAGAAAAGAACTGCAGGACATCAAAGGCAAATCAGTACATGGGCAGGCCTGGGCCAAAGCCTGGAGTGCTGTCTCATTGTGCCCTTCCTACGGTGACACAGCCTTGCCAAACCCAGAATCTGGGGCATGGGAAGAAAATGCCTACCAGGTACAGAAATTAGCAGAGTTGTGGAGGGGACCCCAAAAAGCTCTTAACTGAATGTCCCCTGGATTCCCATTCCTCACTCCAACTCAGGGCTGCCTCAAAGCTGTATTCCTATTCCAGGGTCTCCCATCAGCTGCTTCTCTCCCAGTAACTTCAGCGTTCGGCAGGCTGCCTATGTGGACAGTTCCTGTTGGGACTCGCTGGTTCACCATGAACAGGATGAGCCTGGCCAGTACAAGCTGAAATCCCTCTGGCCTCACAAGGTAAAGTGGGCCGGGACTCTATCAGGCTGGCTTCATGGCTGAGTGGAGAGGGACTGAGCTGCATCATGTTCTCTCTTGCCTCTTCGGCACCCTCCTCTTTCACATGTTGGTCGCTGACTTTCATGTTTCAGGCATTCTTCAAATGTCTAATAATCTTTGGTTTCCCACGTTTATCTGATTGTCAGCTCTGTGCTGATAGATGAGGCTTGTTGACCAGCAGCCTTCAGTTTAAGGAAATCTTTTGGGCCATTTTATGGGGAAAACCTCAAATATCAGTATCTGTAATCCTGTCTCTTGGGCTGGTCAGTTTTCCCAAGTATGATTTGATCATGAATTTGTGTAGACAGGGCAGGCTGCAGTTGGTATCAAGTTCAACTGCCAACCCTCTGGGAACTCAGTTGTGGGTCTCAGCATTCAGTATTCATTCAACTTAGCCCCATTCTCAGTATAGTCTCCCTGCCCTCAATGGACCCAAGTGCAGAATCTCTCTGGTTTAATGTTTGAGGAGTAAACCACAGCCTTCTGCCAGGGGAGGGACAGGGTAGTCGCTTGAGTGCATCATGTTACAGAAAGGATCTGCAGGGCTGTTTTTTAATATTCCTGTTGTTTCAGCCCCACCTGCAGCATGTTTCACATGTACTTGGTATCTCTAATTCCTGAATCTTTCTGGTCCTGTGGCACAAAATAGCTTGATTGCCCCTGTCTCGACCCCCTGTCCACAGACAGGCTGTATCTTCTGTCACGAAACTGCTTTCCAGTTTTCAACATTGTGTTGCTCTTGTCTCCTCTCCTTACAGGATTCCATCTTTTTTATCTTTATTCTCATTCCAGTGGGGTTTTATGAGGGAGCAGAAGTCATGCATATGTCCTTCACAACATTCAATCAGAAGTCACCCATAATATTTTGCAGTTATGACAATCTACAAGGCCTCAAAACACCACAGTTCTAGAACCCAGACAAAACCAGAGGCTTAATGCGGAGTTAATGAGGTCTCTGTCACTGTATAAGCAGGATCTGGAAGGCAACAAGTTCAAGATATTGCAGAGGGAATTCGTGTCAGAAGAGTCAAATCTCTAAGGACAAAGAGTTTATTTTCAAGAAGTCATTTTATAAACATGCGTGAAAAGGTTCTAGTTTTCTTTTGTGGCCTAGTATACCTTTCCAACCTCGCTCTTTAGTTTAGAAACTGTCTCACACACACACCACTTTCTCCTCTACCTACGAGTAGATGCAACCAAATGTGTGTCCTCCCTCTTTTTCTTCGAACATACAAAGCACCTCTGATTCAGAGAAGCTGTAGTCAAGTAGTCGATGAAGGAATAAGCTCCAACGCCAGACTGCCGAGTTCCAAGTCCCACTGACTCACCTATTAGACGTGAAACCCTGTAGGTTACCTAATATGTTCACACGTCAGCTTCTCTGTCTGTAAAATAGAGATACTAACAGGGTACCTACCTGATAGCAGCCTTGTGAAGATCAAATTAAAACGATGCATGTTAAGCACCTAACACAAATGTAGCTTTGAAAAGCCTTTACATGTAGTTTTCACTGGGACAGAATAGTGGCCCCAACCCCGTTAGGAAACATAAGGAAAAGCCCCTTATCTCAGGCAGCACGTGAGAGGAGGCTGGAAAGGGAATGGGATTTGACCTCTTTTTCTAGAGGGTCTAAGTAAAAGTCAGCAATGTTGGGGATGCTGGCTGGACTTTGAAAGCTAATGGGCTTTGCAGGTCTGGTAATGAGAACCTGGAGCAATCAGACGAAGACAAATGGAAGACTGAGAATAAAGGCGCTGTCCCCTGGGATGCCACGACCACTGTTGGCCGTGACTTCTGGTTAGCAACCCAGGCTAACATGCATGGGCAATGGGGAGAACTCTCGCTCTCTCTCCCCACTGGCCCCTTCTCCTTATCCCCCTTGCCCCCTCACTTCCTCTCCCTCTCTCTGCCTCTTGCCTCTCCTTCCTGGGGCCCTAAGCAGACCTGGATCAGTAAAGTGGAGGTGGCGAGCATGGAGATGCACAATTCCTTCTCTCCTGGGCCCACTATGTTCAGCCTGCTCAGTGGAGAGCCATAGGTCCCCGGCCGTTGGTAGCTCATTGCCCTTCTGAAGCAGGAGCCCCACTCAGAGCTCTCTCCACAAGGTCCCAGCACCCTGGCCTCCCTCCTCAGCTCACTCTCACCCTACAGGCCCTCCCCTACTCCCTGCTGGCCCTGGCCCTGGTCATGTACCTGCCGGTTCTGCTGTGGCAGTATGCAGCTGTGCCGGCCCTCAGCTCTGATCTGCTGTTCATCATCAGCGAACTGGACAAATCCTACAACCGCTCCATCCGCCTGGTCCAGCACATGGTAAAGATCCGGCAGAAGAGCTCGGACCCCCATGTTTTCTGGGATGAGCTGGAGAAGTGAGTTGTCCCTTCCACTCCTTTCTGAAGGACTCCATCAAGAATTAAAGTGATATCCATGCAGAGTAATCTTTATCCTCTATACCATCTTTCTCAAGAGTGCAAAGTAATTAACATCCTATCATTAACTTTCTAGCATTTCTGCACAGGGAGAAGAGAAAGGACTCTACCCCTAGTTTACAGATGAACACAGAGTCACAAAGGGATGAATCTCTTTAACATACTTTCATATACCACTCCCCTTTCAGAAACCTTGAATAGCTCCTTTCATGTCTACAGAAAAATATCCACATTCTCCCAAATATTTTTCGAAGGCCTTCTGCACACTTCACCAACAACTTTTTCAAATTTCTAACTACCACGTGACAGAAATTTTTCACTATAGCTAGGTGGTCTCCTCTTCTCCTGAACAAGTCATTCATCCATTTCGGCATTCATCCATCACTTATGAGTACCAGGCACTGTTCTGTTTTAGATACGTACGTGTCTGTGTGTGCTGGGGGGCAGAGGTGGGGAAGAGACAAAGCTACACCTATCAACCCATGTGGGGCTTATATTCTACTGAGGAAAAACAGACAACAAATAATCATTAACACATAAGTAGATTATATGGTAGAAGATAAGTGGTATGAAAATAATAATAAATCAGGATAAGGGTGGAGGTGGTCAGGAAAGCTGGAAGGTTGTGTATTGGTAGTTTTAAATAGGGTGGCCAGGGTGGATAGTTGAACCAAGAGGATAGTTGAGCTAATATTTACCACCTTATTCTGTCTTGTTTGCACACATACTCTTTCTGAACCCCATCTACCTTCTGAAGGCAAACTCGAAGATTATATTCTCCATGAAGGTTTCTGAACACTCCAGCCCACACTGTTATCATCACTCTCCTAACTTATAACTACCATGGTTTGTAGTCATCATTTTGACAACCAAGAGCTATTTTTACGTTTGCATATCTTATCTGCCCCTTCCCCACAAGCCAGACTGTAAGCTTCTTCAGAGCAGAGACTGGCTTGCACATACTGAACACCACAGCTCCCAACAAATACTTGTTAACAAATTTATTTTTATAATAGTGAATGAATTGACCTGAAAATCACAGAGTATACAGATGAACCAGAATGTGTGTATTTAGACCCCCAGTCCAGAGCTACTTTAACAAGCCTTACTGCTTCCTAAGGATCCTACTTCAGCTTACAGGTTTAGTCTGCCCTGCTGGGCAGAAATCCAGTGTGACCATTTATTACTCATTGATCATTCACTGGGCTTACTGCATTGCACTCACTGCTTGGAGAATTAAGGTATACTTACACACCTCCTTTTGGGAAGAGGGATGGTTATGGTCAGAGATGGCAGATTTTCATGTGAGTTGAGAATCCCATGTTGGATACACAGATTGTTACTGTCCCACATGGCTCTCTCAGGATATGATTCTAAATGTCCCTCTTCACCTTGTCTCCTTTCTCCCCCTACCCAGGGCTCGGAAAGAACGATACTTTGAATTCCCCTTGCTGGAGCGGTACCTGGCATGTAAGCAGCGCTCACACTCACTAGTGGCCACCTACCTCCTGAGGAACTCCCTCTTGCTCCTCTTTACCTCAGCCACCTACCTGTACCTTGGCCACTTCCACCTGAATGTCTTCTTCCAAAAAGAATTCAGTTGTTCTGTCAAGACAGGGCTGCTAAGCAATGAGATCCACATCCCCGACCTCATCACATGCAGGCTGACCTCCCTGTCTGTTTTCCAGATTGTTAGTCTCTCCAGTGTAGCGATATACACCCTGCTGGTTCCAGTGATCATCTACAACCTCACACGGCTCTGTCGGTGGGACAAAGGACTTCTGTCCATCTACGAGATGCTCCCAGCGTTTGACCTCCTCAGCAGGAAGATGCTGGGGTGCCCCATCAATGACCTCAATGTGATCCTTCTTTTCCTCCGAGCCAACATCTCTGAGCTCATCTCTTTTAGCTGGTTGAGTGTCTTATGTGTGTTGAAGGACACTACCACCCAGAAGCACAACATTGACACTGTGGTTGATTTCATGACTTTACTGGCTGGCTTAGAACCCTCAAAACCTAAACACCTCACTCACCGGGTGTGTGATGAAAGCCCATAGTTAAGAAATCCTGGAACAAGAAATTTTATAGAAATAAAAATCTCTCTCCTTCCTCACAAACCTCAAGGGCTAATATACAAAAATGTCCATTTTAGAATTGCTAAGCTTGGATTTAGCTGACTCACACATCCTGTATCATGTTATCCAAAGGGTGAGAAGAGATACTTGACAAATGGAAATAAATCTGAAAGTTGGATCTGAAGAGTCAAAGAACTAAAAAATTAGGTCTACAGCATATGAAGAGAGAAGAAAAACCTACAACTAAAATAAAGTCTAGATTTTCTACAAGGAAAGAAGGTTCTGAAGGCTATCTATGGAGGCAGGTTCTTCTCACCGTATTTACTCCATGGCCCTTCTAGGATACACACACAGCTTATCCCAAAGAGCAAGTGGGTTAATCTGGTAGGAGAATAAAGATATGAAACCTCTGGAAATCCTTTGGTGTGGCCTGACATCCTAGGAATTTACCCAGCTTGTTTTGTGGAAGCCATCAACCTTGCTCAGGCCCTCTGTGGCCCGCAAAGTGGGCAGGAGATAACAATGGCAGGAACCTGTAATCTGCTCTTTGGGCTTAAGGACTGTGTAGAATAAGACCAGAACTGTGCAACAACCGTGAGATATGCAGATACACCTTTTCATCATCTAAATCTGGGACTCCCTTAATCACGGCTGAGATTGTGGGCTGCGGACTCCTTCACAACTCTTAATGGGCCCAGGTGTGTTTTTAATACCCCAAGAGAGGCTATACTTCCACTTGCAGCCAATCACTGAAAAGCAACCACTGAAGTGAAGTGCTGTTGAGCCTCTTCTTTCTCTTCTGTGACTCATCACCTTATCTTAGCTGCTAACTTCCATTTCTGTGCCTAACTTTAAGGATACCTTGATCTGTCTCCAAAGGCCATGCTCCACAATACTCTGCTGTCTCTCATTTGATATTTCTTTTTAGAGGTGCACATTATTACACCCTTCTTCATATAGGTAAACAGAAAAATTATGTTGCTCCTGACAAATCTGGATAAGTTTACCTAAAACAAGCAAAGGGACAGACACAGACACTCGTTAATGGCTTCCTATTGTCATTAGGTAAAAGTCTACCTCTTCAGTTGGTACACAAGACCCTTCGCTATCCAAATACTGCCGCCTACTTCGGTCCTCTTGCCTCTCTCCACAGGCATCTTTCACTCTATTCAACTGCTTGCAGTTTCTACGTTCGCATAATGCTGAGGACAGCATATTCAAAAGCTTATGAATATGCTGTCCCCACTGCCCAAGATGCCCTTCTGTTCTTCACTGGGCTGACCACTACCTCTTGTTCAGTCAGCCCAGACATATTTCCTTCAAAAAATCTTCCCTAGCTTCTCCCCCCTCCCCTAACTGGGGGCTACCATATGATCCAATACCTACCTCTGAGATAAGACTTATTACACTGTGTTAATACTGCCCCTTTATTTGCCTGGCTTTCCCTCTTAAATAAGTTTCCTAAACATTCTGCCATAATAAGTACTAAATAAATATTCTCTAGAACAAATAAGTGACTGAATGAGTTGCTTGGTAATATTACATTGTTTGGAGCACACGGACTCAGCCTCTAAATAATCCTGTATGGAAAAGGCTTTGTGGGGCCGGCTGAGTGGCGCGATGGTTAAGAACTCGCTTGGGATGCCAGAGGGCCCCGGTTCGGATCCCACATATGAGGGCCAGTGACACTGCCCTCTACAGCTAAGATGCTGAACAACAGCTCAACCTGGAGCTGGGCTGCCGTGAGTCGCTGGCAATGGCGTAGGCTGCAGTCCCTGTGGCAGTGGGTTGCCATGGGCTACCGTGAGCGGCCAGCCGCCGCAGTGAGCGGCCGTCCAGAAGCCGGCGACTGATCTGCCTCTCCAGGGAAGAGCACAATGATGGTGCCAACTTGGGCCAGTGAAGCAACATCCTCCACAACGAGATTGAAGAACAAAATGACAGCAACTTGTCTGTTCCCCTTCCCCAATCCCCCAGCACTGTTCCCATCCCCCCAATTCCCCAATAAAAATCTTAAAAAAAAAAAGAAAAGGCTTTGTGTGCAAAAATGCACTTTGCAGCAACTGGTGACCAAAAAGTCAAATAACATGAAAATAATTACGTAAAATTATTATGCCATAACTGGAAATATTAAGCAGCCATTTAAGATTATTTTATAAAGAAGTCATAATAATACTGCAAAGTGACTATAATAATGGTAACTGAGCAAAAAGGAAACATTACATCCATATGATCTAACATACATAAAGATGCATGAACATATTCAGTATGATATAACCTATATAAAGAGGCACAAAAACACACATACCAACAAGTTAAAAATGGTTCACTCCATATGGCAGCATTATGAATTTTTAAAATCTTTGTACTATATTTTTTAAATTTCATATTTTGCATGGAATGTTTTATGTATTGTAAGGAAATGTTTCTAATGAAGAACAAACAACAAACATTTTAATGCAAATCCCACTAAAATCCACTGGCCAGAGCAGCTTGCAAACTAAGGCAAATGATAGCACTTTTCCTCCCACTATGCATGATACATGTATATGAAGAGGAATAATGATAATAAAGTCAGGCCACAAAGCCTCCAAGGACAAAATACAGCTGTACTGCAAATAAACCAGGCAGTTAGAAAATGTGGGGTTTAAAAAAGTAAATAAAAAGAAACCCAAATCTCTTCCTATCACTCAGAACTATTTTCAAGTTCCAAGGTAAAGTTCCAATCTATAGTATCAAAGGCATGAGTGTGGATATTTTGTAGGATGAAAATAGTCCTGGTGATTTCCAAAAACAAATCTATATGGCTGCCTTGAGTATGTTTGTGGAAACATATTGGCACCATGAGAAGCTGCTCTGTTAAGACCCAGCCAGGTGCAACAAGGACAGCTTACCACGTGGATGGACGTAAAAGGACTTTCACAAGCCTTCTCTCTGCGTTAAAACCATTTTGTCAAGACCCTGTCACTAGTTTTACAATTTTCTGAAATGAAATACTAGGTCAACTCTAAACCTCTTTTTTTGAACTGTGTTACTATATTAGCGTTAGATTTTTCTCCAGTAATTCAATGAACTTATTAACTATGTATTTTCTATCATTTAGATATACAACTCTAGAAGTCTAAATTTTTAATATATAACCGTAATTACATTTTATATCAGTAGCGCCTTACAGTTTAGAACTCTCATTCACCTCCATTATTTGACAGTAGATTGTCTTTCAAAGAAAAAATCTGTGGCCCAGGGGCTCACTCAGCTAGTTGGGGGCACTGCTGGAAGGAGAATGAATACAAGCCTCTGCTTCCGGACCCCTTACCAATATTGCATCCTAAAGAACTGTCTATCCTCCTTAATTTTTAGCTAGACCTGCATTATGAAGTTAGAGCTACATAAATAGATGTATAGGTACAGAAACATACTTTTGTGCTAACGTGTTATTAAAGCTGCTTGTTAAATCTTCCATCTCCCCTACTATTATATAGATTCTAACCTGACAGAGCAGAGGCTTTTTTTCTATTCAGTACTGCAGTCCCGGCTCTTAGTAAAAGCACAGCGTCATGGAAATATTTATGCCACTGGCATAAGGGAAGGGAATCCGGAAAGCAACAGCACCAGCACTTGCGTTCGAGCGGGACCTACAGTCCGGGGAGGGCTGTGGGCACCAAGCGTGAAAAGCTGGTGTTGACCGCAGTGGGCTACGGGAAAGCGTGAGGCTCGTGCTGGAAGGTTTTTGCTGGTTCCTGCCTCAGCTCATAATCACATTGCTCACTGAGAGCGCGGACGCGAGTCACAGTCGGTCACAAGAATCGCTTCCGGGCGCCGGCCCACCCAGTCTCACCTCCTCTAGGGAGCGGACCTGCAAGGCCGAGACGAACCCACGCTCCCGACACAGACTTACGCCATCAGCGCCGTGACGCCACTTCCGGCCAGACGCGGAAGTGCGGAGAGGCGCAGGGAGCCGGCTCGACTGTGGGATTTTTTTTAGCCCAGCGGCGCGCCTTGGGAACGTTCTGGAGAGGTCGGATCCTCAGTGCCCGGTTCGGCCAGCGCAGACCCGCCGAGGCCGACGCCCCGCCGCCCCTCGGCCCGGCGTCGATGCCCGCCGCGCCGGGGAGGCCCCGCAGCGGGGCCGGGCCATGAGCCTGTCGGGCGGCCTTGCTCCATCGCTGCGGGCCCCGCTGCAGTCCGGCAAGACCAGGATGAAAAAGCTCCCGAAGAGGAGCCAGAACGAGAAGTACCGACTCAAGTACCTGCGGCTGCGCAAAGCCGCCAAAGCCACGGTGTTTGTGAGTCTGACGCCGTTCGGCCCTTCGCCTAGACACTCAATTCGCGAAATCTTTCCCCAAACCGTCCCCCTTCCCAGAATGGCAGTACTAACATAGTGTTAGCTTTTGCAGTATACATCGTTTCTCGGTTGCCTTATGTCCTTCGACAGATTACGTAATTTCTGTAATCCTGTTTCCCCATCTGTAAATGAGAGCTAATAACTACCTTGCAGAGTTGTGAGGACTAAATGAGGAAGAGAAAGTGCTTGGTACCTAGAAGATGTGCCAATAAATTTTAGCCGTTATCACCGCAGAACTCTTGGAAATGCTATAGATTCTCGAGAGAACCCTGAGAATGAGGCAGTATTTTTCAAATGACAACACTGAAACCCAGAGAGATAACTAGTTTAAGGGCCCTGTATCAGAGCCCTGACTCCAACTTAGACACCCTGATTCTAGTTTCTTTATTACTTCCGCTACACAGCGTATTTCCTAAACACCCCATGTACTCATAACTGGCCCCTTCCCTAAACAGACACATGAAGCTTTCAGTAATTCACCCCCTTCTAACCTCTTTTGAGTCTCCCAAGTGTTACTGCCTTTTATTATAGAAGCACTGGGTTTATTGGATGAATGAACTGGTTTGCCAGCCATACTTTGTTTTACAATGTTCTGGATCGCTCAAGCTTGCCTCAGTGCTAGGAGATAGAGAGTGGAGTCCTCCAAGGCCCTCCCACGACTGAATCACCACCTTATCTCTTCTTTTTACCAAAAACTTGAACATCTCAGCTTTTTTGGAACCATAAGGAATGGTTTGGAAATTAGAACATGCATTCCAAAAACATGTATTAGCACTTGCTATGTACACTGTAGAGAAATAAGAAAAGTAGAATTAAGAGGATTTGATAGCCAATTGACTGTTACCTTTCTTTTACTCCCTCCACATCAAAGGTACTTAAAAGCTTGAAACCTATGTTATTAGGTTCCATTAACTACCTGAAGAAGGGATATTGTGTTGTACATTCAGGGTTTGAGGTCCCACCTATGGACCATCGAGATTGGAGCATTCCCTTCAGGACTGATGCTTGGCTAATAGATGGAGTCATCAGTAAAGACAGAGGATACTTGAATACACATACGTAGATTATGAATAAGAATTGTACATACTAGAGTTGATTTGGTTCCATCCAGTTTTTGTCTTTAAGGTTCATACTGCATGGGATGCTTTGGGTTAGGTTGGTTTTGTAAGATCCCCAACAGTCAAGGTACTTGGGAATGGATACTCATAAGGACTGAATTGAAGCGTCTGTGGATTTAAGCACTATGCCCTTTTCTCGGCCAGACGCTACCCTAAGTAGGGTGACTGTACATCTTGGTTTGCCTAGAACAGCCCTAGTTTACCATAATCATTAATAGCTCCCCCTTTTTACTCATAGGTACCCCAGTTGTGATAAGTTCTGTAATTACCCTGCTCCTAGAACTTAACTCTACCTTTACCCATAGGTTCCTTTGTAGTTTACAACAAAGACTTCTTTGGTTTGAAATATAACTCCTCTTCCCAGCATAATACTTGGATCTTGTATTCATTTTATATGATTATATTGAAATTTTTTCTTAAAGGAAAATGCTGCTATTTGTGATGAAATTGCTCGTCTTGAGGAAAAATTTCTTAAAGCAAAAGAAGAAAGACGGTGAGCTGACTTGTTTTTGTGTTCAGAAACACACTTTTGGTGATTGATATGGTGTTACTGCTCTGGGGATTTTTCTCCAGGGGGATTTTTGTGCAATTGCACAGTCTATTGGCCGCTGATCAAATACAGAGAAACTCCCAACCTGTGGTACTAGTTCCTGTTTACCCAGTTGTATTTGGACCACAGTAATGAGACAGCTCCTCTACTCATCTTTCTGACAAAGCCCTCTTGCCACAACTCATAAGTAATCTAATTATAACTCCCCAATTATAAAAGCCAAGGGATAAAAGAAACTCTTCATCCTACAAATATTTATTATGTACTACTCTGTGCAAAGCACAGTGGGTATGTACACGTATGCAATTCATGGTGTATACTCTTCAGAAGCCTAATACCTCCCAACATCAAGGTAGAGCAACGCTCCAGATGCAAAGGCGATAACGCTACACTTCTTTATCCTTGGCTTCTTGAGTATTGTTCTCTGGAGCGTCATGATTCCTAGGGTCCAATAAGTGTTATTTTTATGAGTGTAATAATCTTTGTATATCGTTCTGGCTTTTCTCAGTACTTAAGTAAAATGGTGACTTGAGATAAAACAGAAGTTCATACCTCTGCTCCTTTCCTTCCCAACCTCAGGTACTTGCTGAAGAAGCTCCTTCAGCTTCAGGCTCTAACTGAAGGGGAAGTACAGGCCGCAGCCCCTTCCCACAGCTCCAGTTTGCCCCTGACTTACAGCGTGGCCAGCTCTGTGGGAACTCTACAGGGCGCTGGGCCCATTTCTGGGCCTGGCACTGGGGCCGAGGAACCATTTGGGAAGAAATCCAAGAAGGAGAAAAAAGAAAAGGGGAAAGAGAACAACAAACTGGAAGGTACTTTGGAGTTACCCAAGTGGCTCAACGACTAATGACACAGACCTGGTACTAACTGGTAGACACACACGGCCACGGATACACTTAACCTCTCATCTGGTCCTTGAGCAGCCCTCATAAGCCCTGGAACAACAAGTGTATGAAAGCCATTTTGGGTGGAGGAATTCCAGTTAGACGCAAAGGGAGCAGGCTAAGGCCTCCCCGTTCTTCCCTGCCAACTCGGGGTTACCTTCAGTTCAGTCTTTCCTAGAGGTAGAGAAATGAGGTAAGTGGCCTTTTGAGCACGCTGCTGGCTTGGGAAGTTTCTAATCTTAAAAGTGAAGTAAGAAGCCTTAAAAACTATGACTCTTAGGTCCTAAGCAGTGATATTAAAATTGGTCACTGCCAGATGGGCGGGTTAGACAGATACTCAGGGCTTTGGGGGAAAGTCCCATGTGCCCAGTCACTGAGTGTGTAGAACCAGGGTTGGCTAATTGCTCTTAGCATTCATGTGTAAACTTTTCCCTTCCCCTCAGCATTGGGAGGGGCTTAAAGTGGGTGACCCCAGATTTACGTTTCAGTTCTGAAGAAAACATCCAAGAAAAAGAAAATGGAGGGAGGTGCTCGCAAGCTGGTTCAGCCCATTGCCCTGGATCCCTCAGGACGGCCTGTGTTCCCCATCGGACTGGGGGGTCTAACAGTATATAGCCTGGGGGAGGTGAGTGAGACCAGCGATGTATAGAGAGGAGAATCAGAAACATGGGAATGGGGTTGAGCCTTCCCTCCCTTCCCATTAGCAGCAGCCCCTTGCTGATCCAGACCAACCCCAGAAAACCTCCAATCCCTAGGAACCAGGTTGGTTTTGTCTGCTACACAGCGTACACTCTCTGTCTGTGATCTGAGTCACTCTTTGCAGCCCCAGAGTGGTTCCAAAGGCTACCTTCAGAACTTCTAAATTCTCCAGTGACCTCAATTGCAGGTTGGGGGAATCTTTTTTTTTATAGATCATCACCGACCGGCCTGGCTTCCATGATGAGAGTGCCATCTACCCTGTGGGCTACTGCAGTACTCGAATATATGCCAGCATGAAGTGCCCAGACCAGAAGTGTCTATATACCTGTCAGATCAAGGATGGTGGTGTGCAACCTCAGGTATTTTTCTTTGCAAAAATTCATTGAACTTTCTAGAAAACTGGTCAAGGATTTAAGTTGGCTAGATAGCACTTGTTACAAAAATACTTCCTTGACAATTCCTATTAGTATAATTTTGATTTAACAGTTTTTAGTCAAGGTATTTTGCAATTCAAAAAATAAAATAATGTGTGAAATGGGGGTTTGCAGTCAAAATGGCTTGTACCTCTCCTAGCTATTATAAGGTCAACCTAAGATTACATAGAGGATGATTTCACGTGTTTTGTTTTGTTTTTTATTGGGGAATTAGGGAAGGGAACAGTGTTGGGGAATTGGGGAAGGAGAACATTGTGTTTTTCCAGGACCCATCAGCTCCATGTCAAGTTGTTGTCCTTCAATCTTAGTTGTGGAGGGCGCAAACTCAGCTCCAAGTCTAGTTGTAGCTTTCAATCTAGTTGGGGGGGGCGGGGAGCACCCCACCATCCCCTGCAGGAGTCAAATCAGCAACCTTGTTGTTAGGAGCACGTACTCTCACCAGCTGAACCATGCAGCCATCCGTCAGCTCAGCGGCAGTGCAGCTCACTGGCCCATGTGGGAATCAACCCGGTGACCCTGCTGCTCAGAGCTCACGCTTTGACCAACTGCACTACCCGGCCAGCCCCTCATGTGTTTTAAAAATACCATTTGCAAGTGTACTTACAGATGTAAGTAAGTGGATAGAAAGAGTCTGGAAAGGCATGTAACAAATTAAGTGTTGACCTCTGGAGAGCAGTCAGGCCAGGAGTATAGAATTGAAACAGTCAAAGGACTTGCTCTGTTTTTTTGGATTTATTTGAATTTTGAATGGCATTGTTAGGGCATTGCACCTACCTCCTACTATGGATTATATCAGCTTCAAGTTCCAGAGTGAAGAATAGTTACTGTAGTAGTATGCCTTTCTCTCTACTAATTCCTCCTTCAAGATTGCTCTCATGGCTCCTTTATCTTTCTCAGTTTGAAATTGTTCCTGAGGATGACCCCGACAATGCCATTGTCAGCTCTTCCGCAAATGCCTGTCATGCAGAACTGCTCAAGGCCATAAGTGCTACTATGTAAGTTGACCAACAGCATGAAGACAGGCAAAAAAGATCACTTTTGGTACAGTGAGACCTTTTCTCTTGCTTTTAATGAGCAGAGAGCCCTTATTGTATTTTGATTTTATTTATTTATTTATTTTTAAAGATTTTATTCTGGAATCGGGGAAGGGGAACAGACAAGTTGCTGTGCTTTTGTTCTTCAATCTAGTTGTGGAGGAGAAAGAGCCCTTATTTTAGAAAATGCTATCCTGAATCCCTGAGTCTTAGCAACTAGTCTCCAGCATATCCAAGTTAAAGCTGTGTGTGTCCATGCCCACATTCCATTCCTAAACCCATTCTCATCTCCCTCTGAGCTCTCCAACTAAAACTTTCCCTCTCCTGTTTAGGGGGAAACTAATGTATAACCTGCTTCCATCTGGAGCTGACTTTTTTGGGTTTTCTCATCCAACCATCCACAACCTGATCCAGAGCTGTTCGGGAGCTCGAAAGTGTGTCAAGTAAGTGTGGTCAAATCCAGTCCCTTGAGAGAAGCTCTGTGATCTGTGGGGCAGGGGCTTAAACTGCCTTGCTCATTTATACACTTACCAAGCTGCCTCTGTGCACAAGGCATGCTTGCTCCTCGACCAGTGGGCCTCAGTATTGGTCCTCTTAGCCCTCTGGACAGGTGAGCAGAAGCCAGTACCCCAGTGTAGTGTAATTATCATTTTCTGTGTGTACCATGACAGCAAAAGGAAGTCCTGCAAGAAACCTGTCTATCTTTTTTAGGTTTGTGGGTTTTTGTTTTGTTTTGTTTTGTGTTGGTTAATAAGTTTTTTGTTTTGTTCTGTTTTGTTTTAATAGTTCTTAGATATATATTGGAGAGCTTTACAGAAAAAAATAGCTGATCCCTCTGGAGGTAAGAATGGGTTATGGCTAACAGACAGCTCTTGATAATGATTCCCTTTGATCCTGCAGTTACCAGTGGGTGAAATTTGATGTGTGCAAACCCGGAGATGGGCAGCTACCACAAGGACTGCCAGAGAACGATGCAGCTACAAGCTTTGAAGCCTTTCAGAGACAGACCTTTGATGAAGATCATAATGATCCCATTCTACAAGGTATCTTTTCATTTTACCTTTCTGGTTTGAAAAGTGACCACTTTTAGGCTACCCTCCCCTCTTCATTCATAGCTGAGTACCCCAAATATCTGGGCAGTAAGTGATACAGGCTTTTCACGGCGCAACCATTGAGAGTCCTGAGTCAGGAAGACGAGCTGCCCTCCAGCAGTCCTCGCAGAAGTCACAGGGTGTGGCTGTGATCATAGGAAGGCAGGGCCCACAAGGAAACTAGGGTTTCTCATTGCCTGCCTAAGTAAGACCTAAGCAGAACTCCAGGTGAAAGTTTACTACGATTCCATGTGAGGTAAAGGGCATCAGGTCATGGCCTTGGTCCTGCCTCTGGTCCCTGGATTCCTTAACATGAATGGGCAGAGCAGTCGGGGGATCTGGCACTGGGATCCCCTGATACAGAGAGAGCTCTGGACTGGAAATAAGAAATTAGAATTAAAATTGTCCCTCTTTGCCTGATACACTACATAACCCTAGGCAAGTCACTTCATCTATTTCAGCCACAGTTTCCTTCATTGTAAAAGTTAAGTATCAGTCCTATCTTACCCAACAATGGCGCAGTTGGGCTGACAGATACAAGGGTGGTAAGGAGTTGAAAGAACATACATGGATCTGATCAGTCTCCTGTGATTCCCAGGCAACACTAGAACTGAAGGAATTTTTTCACCAGGATCACTGGACCTCCCAGAGCTTCAGACTACAGCCTTTGTGTCTTCTTACCAACCCATGTTCTTGACACGTGAACCCTTGGTAGATGATCACTTACAGCACTTGAAGTCTCCATCACAGTGTAGCCCGACGCAGTCTTCAGATTGAACAAGAAAGGATCAGATACCACATCATTTTCATCGTGATGATTTTTTTAACTTAAACTAAAACTTCGAATATATGGAAGAAGGCAGCAATTCAGGAGTGAAGAAGATATTAAATTAACACATTTTGTCATGGAGGTTCCCATGGTGACAGTGTTCCCTGAGAAAAACTTCACCTGCTTTATTTTTAGTAATAAATTTCTTTTAACAGTTATGCTTATTTTTATCTTGTGATCAGGATATAATCTGTTTTGCTTAGCTCTAAGGTAAACTTAAGTCGTTTTTCAACCAGAGTGAGAGATGGCTGCTAACTCATGAAAGACTTAGTAAGATTCTGACAACCTTCTACCCTTGATTGTGATCCTAGTTCAAGGAATATTAAGTCTCAGCCCTGTACCCCAAGCAGGTGCTTTATTTTCATATGAGTATGATCAAAACCAAATCTTGCTCATTCCCAAGCTGGAGAGTCCAGTCCAAGGTACACTTTGTCCTTCTCTTCACGTTTGACATATCCTTCAAGGGGATCAAAAGGTCCTTTTTAACCCTTTCTGTATCCTCTTTGTGGTTCCTTATTGGAGAATGTGCTTTTAGCTAAATACATTGAATCCACATAACACAAATTTAGATATGGTTGGGATGTGGCTCCCATCCCCCATAACAGACTCATCCTGTCATTTCATTAACTGTGTGATAACATAAATCCGCATTCAGTGCAACTGAATTGTCTGGACCCTGCGTATGGCCTTAAGCCGGAGGCCGTCCCGACCATTCCACAGCAGCTGGTCGGATGGGCAGCGAGCGCGTCCAGGTATAGGGGCTGGAATGGGAAGGAACAAAAGGACTCCAGAAGTAGAAGAATGGGGAAGGAGTGAGAACTGGGTTGTTACTGGGCTGTGATTCCTAACTGCTAACGGGACGACACAGATGGGATTGGCATTGCAGAGGAATGAATCTGGCTGGCAGAGGGAGGGGCTCAGACAGCAGCGTTTGCAGCGCACCACAATGGTCACTATGAAGTGTCAGAAGCTAAAGTAACATTAATTTTATGACTCTTAAATTATAGTCTTTTTATAAGTTTGTATAGCTTTTACAGTGCAAAAAGAATTATTAAAGTTTAAGTAGTGTCAAATCAAGAGTGGAAAGGGTATTACTCAAAGCCGTTAATGTTTTAATATTTTTCTTTTGTCTTTTTTCTCTGTATAAGTTGCCTGAACATATCTGATTGTACAGGAATGATATATGCTGCTTTTATTATATAGCAAATATCTTTCCATTCTATTACAGCTTGAGTAAAACACATTAAAAGAGAGCCTCATTTTAAGAAAGACATTTAAAAAAATGTTTAGTTACTGTGTTGTTTAATAAGCGTATTCATTTTATAACTTTGCTAGAACAGAAAGAACCCATTAGTTCTTAAACTCAGAGGATCAATACCTTCATCTTTTAAAATTAAAGAAAATAATTAGAACAGATTGTATTGCATCGCATGTCGAAAGGTTGAAACTTTGGTTTCAACTATAGGGTGTATGTATGTCTTTATATAAATATGGCATGTGTATGGGGATACATGGAATAATGTGAAATGTTTTTCCTACGTATCGTCATTTCAAAAAACTTGAAAAATAACTGCCATATTATACTTAAAATAGCTTTTCATTTACCAGATTGTTAAAGATTTTAAAATTTTGACAACATCCAATATCAATGAGAATGAGGTAAAAAATGGGACTGTACGTTGCTGGGAATGTAAACTGTTGGAACACTTTGGGAAGGGTAAGCTGTAGGTATCAAAATTTTAAACATATTTAATCTTAAACCTGTTATTCCCCATTAAGGACCATAAGGAAAGTAAGTGTGGTATGCTGTTTGCAAGTAATATTATCACAGTATTAGTTTAATAGTGAAAAACTGGAAAAAACCTGCATGTCCACTCATGGGAAATTGGTTAAATAAAGTATGTGGCTCCCACAAACTGAAACACTAAATCTATATTCAAGTTACACAGGAAAATTATTTTGCTAACGTTAAGTCAAAAACACAAGATTACAAAATAATATACCATGTAGTATATAAAATATAACCCAAACAAATCAAGTGACTGTTCACCAAACTATTAAGTATTTCTTGTTTCTCTCCAAATGATGAATTTGGGGATGATTTTTTACTTACACTTTGTTAGCATCGAAATGTTCTACAGCAACTATAAATTTCATTTTTCAAGTAGTAACATGTTATTTCATTTGGGAAATAAACTGAATTTCCACAGAATGTTTTAAATTATTAAACCATTAAAATTAACTTTCACGTGACTTTTCATTAATACATCCACTCCCTAAACCTAATTTTTCACATTGTGTGCACTAGGTTATTGAGGATGAAAGGAAGCTGTGCTTCTTAGCTATCTCTAGTTTATAAAGTTAAAAAGTTACACCAAGCTAAGGTTATTTTATTGAGGAAAAATATTTTTATATAAATTGAGTGTAGCCTAAGTGTACACTGTTTATAATCAGGTCTGCAGGAGTGGATGTCCTAGGCCTTCACATTCACTCACCACTCACTCACTGACTCACCCAAAGCATCTCCCAGTCCTACAAGCTCTGTCCTTTCATGGTAAGTGCCCTGGACAGGTGTACCATTTTTTATCTTTTATACTGTATTTTTACTGTACCTCATGTTTAGATGCACAAATACACATTGTGTTAAACTGCCTCCAGTGTTCAGGACAGTAACATGCTGTACAGACTTAACCACCCAGGAGCAACAGGCTGGACCATACGGCTGGGTGCAATAGGTTATACCACGAAGCTTGTGTAAACACACTGTGATGTTCACATGACAAAATCACCCGATGACGCATTTCTCAGAAGGTATCCCCCCCGGTAAAGCGACGCATGACTATACTTTTATTTCTAACTTCTAATAGAAGCACAGTTACCAAGTGCCGTGAGCTGTTTTTAATCAACCAATAAACAGCATTATGATTCTTAATAGTACACACACAAGCCCTCTTTCACATCTGTCCCATCTGATTATTTTTCTAAATGCTTATCATCTAGCTTCCCTTTCAGCCTCACTTTTTTCTTCCATCTGGATTATCCTTTTTATAGTTAAACCTCTTACCTTTAAAGAGCCTGAGATATTTAATTCTAACGCCCTGTTTGCCTCTCAGTGACTGTCACTGTCACATTTCCGAAGCTTGGGATCCACCCCCACCGCCCTCTTCCTGGCAGCGCGAGTGCCTTCCTGGGTCAGCAACTCCCCAGACGCCGGCATCTGATTCTGCTTTGTTAGCTTTCAACGTTCACATTATCATCATTTAGATTGAAGCAGCAGAATTGTTTATCGGACCGTCTTCAATGATCTGAAAGACTCGTGTAGTAGAAGAAAGATTTCAGTTCCACACAAGGAAATATTTAGGAAATTTAGAAAGGAAACTATACAGAGATTTAATAACTACTTGTCAGCTTTTGTTAAAAAAAACATATAGCCTACATGGCCTTGAAAGGTCTTCCAACCCTAGTTCCCACAATTCTGAATGTAAGGGGACAAAGTGTCAGACATTTCATTCTCAATAATGACGAAGTGAGTGACACGGGTTCAGTGTGCTTGTGGTTTGGAGTGAGTCCAATAGAGACACCAGCCTAACAAGAGGACAAGGGCAGGTGCTTCATCGTCTGCGGGCCCTGGCTCATCTCATAATACAGAAACAATCACATGCTAGCTGGGAGCTGTCCATGAGGCTTTCCTATTTTCCTTTAAAAGCAACAGTTGTCGTCATTTAAACTCCTACATGCCCAAATCTAAAGGTTCTACGCTTAACGTCTAAGATATGATCATACTGCACCTAAATCATTTAGCAACATCTGGTTTGTAATGAAAGCAGTGAAGGGAGGAGCTGGCAGGGCACTGCTGGCATGGTACACGGGACACCGTTTATATTCACAAGGCCATGTGGTCCAAGCATAGCGGAGAGCAACCGGAGTGCCACGACAAGAACTGATACTTAGCGCCAAGGTCTGCGTGGAGGAAGTGTTCATGGGAGCTGGAAGCCACTTGCACTGATGATGGGCATCACAACATGAGATCTAATAAGAGAATCATAAGGAGGAAGGGTCAGGTCGGGTAGAAGGATGTCCTAGAGGCTGGGAACTGCTCTTCCGGATTGTCGAGGAGACTCTTAGCCAACAACCCACTTCCTACAATAACCAGAGCAAATCTCAGTCCAGGCTGGGTCTGGTCAGTACAGCCACAGGTTAATAATAGATGTTCATGTGATGAAATAAATAACTTAAACCAATAAATAAAACATAAATTACTGAGGGAGACAAAGATGCACCATCACATCCAGGATCTGGGGAAGGCTCCCCAAACAGCCTTGCTGTCAGCCTCCCACCAAACAGCAAAACAGGAATCTGAGTGAGCGAAGCAGCCCAGCTGCTGCTCCCCTTTGGCGCTGCCATTTGCTGAGGAATGACAAAGGGGCACAAAGCAACTGCGGATAATAAGCCTTTCTCATCAGAAGGCTATTCAGACAAGGGAACACACGTGATCCAGTACCCAAAGGTTAAATTCTGACCTGATCCTGACTGTGATCCCAGGTCCCGATGATAGACACACTGTCAGCAATGGACTAAAGCGAAGAACATGGGGTGCAAAAATTTCCTGGGAGCTAGAATTCACCTAAAACCCAGGGTCCAGAAGCTAAGTGGGTAAGTGCTGACTAGGCACCTGAGGCAAGTGGACAGTGCAGGTCAGGATTCCAGAGGAAAGCCGCCCTCCAGGTGATTCAAGTCTCTCTCAAA